GAACCAGAGTCTGAACCAGAGTCTGTACCAGAGTCTGAACCAGAGTCTGAACAAGAGTCTGCACCAGAGTCTGAACCAGAGTCTGAACCAGAGTCTGTACCAGAGTCTGAACCAGAGTCTGAACAAGAGTCTGCACCAGAGTCTGAACCAGAGTCTGAACCGGAGTCTGAACAGGAGTCTGTACCAGAGTCTGAACAAGAGTCTGTACCAGAGTCTGAACAAGAGTCTGAACAAGAGTCTACACCAGAGTGTGTACCAGAGTCTGTACCAGAGTCTGAACAAGAGTCTGAACAAGAGTCTGAACAAGAGTCTGTACGAGAGTCTACACCAGAGTCTGTACCAGAGTCTGAACAGGAGTCTGTACCAGAGTCTACACCAGAGTCTGTAACAGAGTCTACACCAGAGTCTGTAACAGAGTCTACACCAGAGTCTGAACGAGAGTCTGAACGAGAGTCTGAACAAGAGTCTGAACCGGAGTCTGAACAGGAGTCTGTACCAGACTCTGAACAAGAGTCTGAACGAGAGTCTGAACAAGAGTCTGCACCAGAGTCTGAACCAGAGTCTGAACAAGAGTCTGCACCAGAGTCTGAACCAGAGTCTGAACCAGAGTCTGAACAAGAGTCTGAACAAGAGTCTGTACGAGAGTCTACACCAGAGTCTGTACCAGAGTCTGTACCAGAGTCTGAAAAAGAGTCTGAACCAGAGTCTACCAGAGTCTGTACCAGAGTCTGAACGAGAGTCTGAACAAGAGTCTGTACCAGAGTCTGAACCAGAGTCTGAACCAGAGTCTGAAAAAGAGTCTGAACCAGAGTCTGTAGGAGAGTCTGTAGGAGAGTCTGAATGAGAGTTTATACCAGAGTCTGTACCAGAGTCTGAACCAGAGTCTGTACCAGAGTCTGAACCAGAGTCTGAACCAGAGTGTGTACCAGAGTCTGAAAAAGAGTCTGAACCAGAGTCTGAACCGGAGTCTGAACAAGAGTCTGATCCAGAGTCTGAACAAGAGTCTGAACCAGAGTCTGAACAAGAGTCTGGACCAGAGTCTGAACAAGAGTCTGTACCAGAGTCTGAACAAGAGTCTGAACCAGAGTCTGAACAAGAGTCTGTAGGAGAGTCTGAACCAGAGTCTGAACAAGAGTCTAAACGAGAGTCTGAACCAGAGTCTGTACCAGAGTCTGAACGAGAGTCTGAACAAGAGTCTGAACCAGAGTCTGAACAAGAGTCTCAACAAGAGTCTGAACGAGAGTCTGAACGAGAGTCTGTACCAGAGTCTGTACCAGAGTCTGAAAAAGAGTCTGAACCAGAGTCTGTACCCGAGTCTGAATGAGAGTCTGAACAAGAGTCTGTACCAGAGTCTGAACCAGAGTCTGAACCAGAGTCTGAACAAGAGTCTGTACCAGAGTCTGTAGGAGAGTCTGAACAAGAGTCTGAACCAGAGTCTGAACCAGAGTCTGAACCGGAGTCTGAACAAGAGTCTGATCCAGAGTCTGAACAAGAGTCTGGGCCAGAGTCTGAACAAGAGTCTGGACCAGAGTCAGAACCAGAGTCTGTACCAGTGTCTGTAGGAGAGTCTGTACCAGAGTCTGAACAAGAGTCTGAACCAGAGTCTGAACAAGAGTCTGGACCAGAGTCTGTACCAGAGTCTGAACGAGAGTCTGAACAAGAGTCTGAACAAGAGTCTGTACCAGAGTCTGAACCAGAGTCTGAACAAGAGTCTGTACCAGAGTCTGAACAAGAGTCTGGACCAGAGTCTGAACAAGAGTCTGGACCAGAGTCAGAACCAGAGTCTGTACCAGTGTCTGTAGGAGAGTCTGTACCAGAGTCTGAACGAGAGTCTGAACCAGAGTCTGAACAAGAGTCTGTACCAGAGTCTGAACCGGAGTCTGAACCAGTGAACCGTTGTAGTTTTACCCTGATTAAAGGAGTTGTATGTCTTCAGTTCTTCTCGGACACACTGGAGCAATGTATTGATGGATGAGACCACCTGCAGAGTAACGTCTTGTCTTCCTGCTCTGACATCAGGGTCCATGTAGCTGGTCTAAATAAAGGAGGGATGGACACGTTCATCGACAACATGCCAGGTTTCCCTGATAACATCCGTCCCAGCTCGACTGGAGGATACTGGGTTGCCATGTCTGCTGTCAGACCTAACCCCGGCTTCTCAATGCTGGATTTCCTGGCCCAGAGACCCTGGATTAAAAAGCTCCTGTTAAAGGTAAAAAGCTGTGAGAGGCTGATCCTGAGCCAGTGTGCTGGCTCCTCTGCAGCTCTATGAATGTGTTCTGGTCTTTCTGTTCTGCAGGTCTTCAGTCAGGAAGTTCTGATGAAGTTTGTTCCTCGCTACAATTTGGTGGTTGAGCTCCGTGATGGTGGTCTCTGTACATGGAGCTTTCATGACCCCAGTGGTYTGGTGGCGGCCTACGTCAGCGAGGTCCACGAGCACGATGGGAGTCTGTACCTGGGTTCGTTCCGCTCGCCGTACGTGGCCAAACTGGACCTGCGTAAGGTTTAAAGACTGTCTGTGACTGGAAGATCAGTGGAACAGGAACAGATTGTTTTTCTGCTGAGTCAGCGTTTCTGTCGTTCTGCTTGTCTATGAGGACTCTGGTGGGCAGTCCTGTGGATGTCCCACCTGCAGGCTGTCTTTACGTTCCTGTCTATTGTCTTCAAACATAGCATGAACAAACAGGACATTTCAGCATTTCTTCAGTCAAACTTATGTCAAAAACTCCCAATAAAAGGCGGAGCCTGTAGAGCGTCATCGTATCAACACCACTGCAGTTTACACCTCAGTCATCAGCACCTCATCCAGGGGTGGCCAGTCCTGGTCCTGAAGGCCCACCAGGACCAGGACTGGCCACCCCTGG